GTCAAATTGAGGTGTCACCTGTTTTTACAAGTTTTGTATCAATGCTCAGGTGAGGGTTTTTCTTTTGGTTTCCAAATGTTTGAATGTGCCTGGTTAATAGACATGGTGGATCATGAATTTCAGGAATATTAATATTAAAGTGAATTCCAAATATTTAATATGGACTCTATGATAAAGGTATCATTAGATTGCACTTTTAATCTCCAAAAACAAAATTTTAACAATAAAGCATGCTGAAAACAGGGAAAAAGGTAGTAGAAAGAAGTGCTTATATACCTTTTATGAAATTGTCGTCCCAGATCTCTCAGGGTTGTAATGATAAAAGCTGTAAGCTTAATTAAGGCTAAAATAAAATGTCAACTCTATTTTGTGGAATTGCTTTGTCTTTATTTACATCCAAAATAAAGTATTCACTGAGCAGGATCATTCTCTTGCCACTTAACTCCTCGCCTCAGAAAGGTGCTGACTTACATGTACTTTTATTCTTTGGGGTTGTGGGGTTCAGTGGCTGTGTCAGTGTTTACTGCCTGTCCCTAACTGCCCTGGAGAAGGTGTGGTGAGCTGTCTATTTGAACCACTTGAATCCATTTGTGGTGAGAACACCAACGGTGTTGATAGGGAGAGAGCTACGATAGAGGGAAGCAGCTGTAGATGGTTCGGCCTAGGACATTACTCTGAGAATTTAAGGGCTCTTCTGGCATAGTGATAGTGTCCCTATCTCTGAGTCAGGAGGCCCAGGTTAAAGTCCCACTTACTCCAGAGGTGTGTCATAATATCTCTGAATGGGTGATTAGGAAATTGTTTAAAACAAATACTGAGAATGTCAGGTCCCGTATGGTGTAGTGGTAGTGTCCCTATCACTGAATTAGGAGGCTTGGGTTCAAGACACCATTGCTTCAGAGATGTGTTATAGCAACTCTGAATAGGTTGATTAGAAAATATCTACCTTGAGAACTTAAGGCCTCTTGTGGTGCAGTGCTAGTAGCCCTACCTTTGAACCAGGAGACTCAGGTTCAAGTCCCACCAGCCCCAGGAGTGTGTAACAATATCTCTGAACAGATTGTTTAAAGATACCAAAACTCAAATAGTCACAGTGTCATAATCAGGGGCTGCTGAAACCTCAGGACAGGAGATGAGTGTCAAAAAGGGTTGAGATTAAGCAATGCCGCTGACAATGTGTAATTTGTTCAGAGGGCTGTTGCGGTACAGCGGTAAGTATCCCTACCTCTAGACCAGGAGGCATGCGTTCAAGGCCTTTCTGCTCCAGAGGCAGGGAAGAACTACTGAGTAGGTTGGTTTGAAAACATCTTCAAAAAGACAACCACAGACAATAATATAGGGGCCAGTTGAGTCAGCTCTGCCACTTGATCGTGATTGATACATTTCTGGACCTCGTTTTCCTGTCTTCTCCCATAACCCTTCATTCCCTTACTAATCAAGAACCTATCCATCTCTGTCTTAAATACTCCCAATGACTTGGCCTCCATAGACTTCTGTGGCAATGAGTTTCACAGATTCACCACCCTTTGGCTGAAGAAATTTCTCATCTCAGTTCTAAACAGTCAGCCCTTCACTTTGAGGCTGTGTCCCTGGGTCCTAGCCTCTCCTACCAGTGGAAAGATCTTCTCCACAACCACTCTATCCAGGCCTCTCAGTATTATGTAAGTTCCATTGAAAACCCCCCTTCTCTTTTTGAACTCCATCGAGAACAGACCCAGAGTCCTCAACCACTCCTCATATGACAAGCTCATCATCCCCAGGATCATGCTTATAAACCTCCTCTGGATTCTGTCCAGTACCAGCACAGGGCCCAAAATTGCTCACAGTATTCTAAATCTGGTTTGACCAGATCCTTATACAGCCTCAGCAGTACATCTCTGTTCTTCTATTCTCGCCCTCTTGAAATGAATGGTAACATTGCCTTTACCTTCCTAAATGCCAACTGAACCTACATGTTAAGCTAAAGAGAATTCGGAACTAGTATTCCCAAGTCACTTTATGCTTCAGGTTTCTGAAGCCTTCCTCCTTTTAGAAAATAGTCTACACCTCTATTTTTCCTACCAAAGTGTAGAATCTCACAGTTTTCCACATCGTGTTCCATCTGCTACCTGTTGCCCACTCTCCTAGCATGTCCAAGTCCTTCTGCAGCCTCCCTGCTTTCTCAGCACTACATGCCCCTCCAGCTTTGTAACATCTGCAAAATTAGCAACAATGTCCTCAGTTTCTTCATCCAGATCATTAATGTATAACATGAATAGTTAGGTCCCAACACTGACCCATGTGGAACTCTAATAGTGCCTGGGTGCCACCCTGAATAAACACCTCTTTATCCCCACTCTCTACCAGTCAGCCAGTCCTTCATCCATGCCAGCACCCTCCCCCCAACACCATGGGCTCTTATCTTAATTAGCTACCTCCTGTGTGGCACCATGTCAAAGGCCCTTTGGAAATCCAAATAGATCAGGTCCAGTGGCTCTTCTTTGTCTAACTTGCTAATTACTTCCTCAAAGATAATTCAAACAGATTTGTCAGACATGGCCCCCGTCTTGACGAAGCTGTGCTAACTCAGTCCTATTTTACCATGGACTTCCATGTACTCTGTAATCTCTTCCTTAATAGTGGACTCAAATCTGACTGAGGTCAGGCTAACTAGCATCCTTTCCTTCTTAAACGAAGGTGTGACATTAGCCATTTTCCATTCCTCTGGGATCCTCCCTGACTCCAGCGATTCCTAAATGATCACCACCAATGCCTCTACAATCTCCTCAGCTATCTCCTTCAGAGCTCTGGGATGCAATAAATCTGGTCTGAGTGATTTATCCACCTTCAGATCTTTCAGGTTTGTCAGAGGTTTCAGGTATAACTCTTGTGTGAACCAGGAGGCCCAGGTTCAAGTCTTAGCTACTCCAGGGGTGTGTAATAAGTCTCTAACCAGGCTGATTAAAAATACCCTGCTCTTGTGGTACAGTGCAGTGCCCCTACCTATGGGCCAGGAGGCCTGGGTAAAATCCCACCTGCTTCAGTGTTATCTAACAGTATCTCTGAATAGGTTGATTAGAAAATATCTGAGAATTTAAGGGGTCTTGTGGTGCAATGATAGTGTCCCTTCCCATGAGTTAGGAGGCCCAGGTTGAAGTCCCACTTGCTCCAGAGGTGTGGCATAACTCATCTGAACAGATTAGCAAATATATACCCCGAGAACTCCAGCTGTGATGTCCTGGTGCTAAAACTGACCTCCAACAACCACAACCTTCTAAAATTGTGCTAATTATGATTCCAACCAGAGGAAAGTTTTCCCCACTTGTCATCAACCCCTGTTTTGCTGGAACACTTGATGCCACACTCTGTCAAACATGGTCTTGATGTCAAGGAAACAAAAAAATCACTCTTACCTCACCACTGGAGTTCAACTCTTTTGTCCATGGCTGTAATGAGGTAAAGAGTTAGGTGGATCTGGTGTAACCCAAACTAAACATCAGTGAGCGAGTTGCTGTTACTCAATTGCTGCTTAGTATTACTCTTGATGTCTCTCTCTGTCACTTTTACTGGTGATTAGCAATAGACTAATCAGGCATTAATAGGCTGAGTTGTATTTGTCCTGTTTTGTATGTTCAGGATGTACTGGGGAACTTTTCACATTTTTGGGTATCTCCCAGTGTTGAGTCTGTACTAGACCAGCTTGGATAGGGGTGTAGCAAGTTTTGGAGCACAAGTCTTCAAGGCTATTGCCAGGGTGCCTAGCCTTTGCAGTATCCAGTGCCTCCAGCTGTTTCTTGACATCCAGTGGCATGAATAGAATTTATTGAAGATTGTCATCTGTGGTGATGGCCATATGCAAAGGAGACCAAGATGGATCATCCGTCTTACATTTCTCACTGAAGGATGTTGTGAGTGCTTCAGTCTTAACTTTTGTAGTCATGTGCTGAGCTCCCATATTGTTAAGGATGGGGATGTTTGTGGAGCCTCCTCCTTTAGTGAGTTGTTTAATTGTCCACCACCATATTCGACTGGATATGGCAGGATGTAGGACTTACACCTGATCTATTGGTTGAGGAATTGCTTAACGCCATCGATCACTTGCTGTTCAGCATACAAGTAGTCCTGAGTTTTAACTTCCCTAGATTGACACATCGTTTTTAGATATGCCTGGTGCTGCTCCTGGCATGTCCATCTGCATTCTTCATAAAGCTGAGTTCACCCCTTGGTCTGGTGGTAATAGCAGAGTGGAGTTGCCATAAGATTGCAGATTGTGTTGGAGTACAATTCTGCTGCTGTTGGAGGCCCTCAGCGCCCAGTTTTGAATTGCTATCTCTGTTTGAAATCTCAATTCGCACAGTGATAGCATCACACAAATTGATGTTGGGTATCCTCAATGACTAGATTATCTTTGTGCTCCATAGTTAGAACATAGAACATAGAACAGGACAGCACAGTAGAGGCCCTTCGGCCCACGATGTTGTGCCTAACTTTTACCCTAAACCTAAGGTCTATCTAACTTCCACCCCTACCTTATACTATCATCCTTATGCCTATCTAATAGCCACTTAAATGCCCCTAATGAGGCCGACTCCACTACCCTCTCTGGCATTCCACGCCCCTACCACTCTCTGAGTAAAGAACCTACCTCTGACGTCTTCCCTATATCTACCTCCACTCACTTTAAAACTATGCCCCCTCGTAATAGCTACCTCCAACCCAGGAAAAAGTCTCTGGCTGTCGACTCTATCTATACCTCTGATCATTTTGTACACTGAGTTCTCTCAGATGTACAAATATTTCCAAGAAAAAAGTAGGCCAGCCCATTATACTTCTTTGCATTAGTTTATAAATGGTTTGGCCATCACCATATTGTAAGCCTGGAGACTCAGCTAAATAGTTAATAATTGTCCTCACAACCAGAAATGGTGAGCCTGAGCTGAACTTGCAAAAAAGTAACGTCTAAGACAAGTTGAAATATTCAATATGATCTCAATTTATAGAAAATTCAGATAACACCTTACCAGCTGACCAACTCCTTTTGTTATTTGTGCAAAATTTCGAATAGTTTCATGATTGAAACAAAACTTTTCAATTTTCAGTCGCTTTTCTGAAAAGAGAAACAAACAATAAATAGTGAACCAGTTTGTACATTTCAGTGAAATAAAACAGTATCTGTGATGACAGTACATAGATTTTCAACACTAACAGGTTATAGCTCTTTATGATTGCAATAATTTTAATGATAGTAGTGATTTGAAGGAATGATGGGGCTAGGGAGATTTTGCGGGGGGGAAGGGTGACAGAAGGAATTGGCAGGCTGATAAGGGGAAGAGGGGAAGGGGGAGAGGGGAGAGGGGAGAGGGGAGAGGGA